GAAATGTTTGTGTGGCATTCTGTGTTTTCAGCCAAGATCCATCTTATCTCAAAAATGATATCCCTTGTGTCACATTCTTTTCTTCATATGGTTTGCATTTCTTAACAGCTCCATGTTGATGTACTGCTGCAACCATTTAAAAATTACTCTAAGTAAAATTTTTTCTTGCAGGTGATATCAGTAATACTGTTCGATAATTTCTGCATCCTTTTGTGGCACCTTTCTTTGGAATGTGCACATATATGGATCTCTTCCAGTCAGTTGCCCAGGTAATTGCCTTTCAAACTTCCTGGCATATATGAGTGAATGCTTGCAGTGTTGCATCAACTTGCTGGAGTTTTCAAGAACTATTACATCAATCCCTGGACCAATATTTTTTAACACCCCCTGTGCAGCTTGGACTTCTTCCTTCAGTTCTAGAGGTTCTTGATCATATCTTACCTCTTGAAAGTGTTGGATGTGACAGACTCTTTTCAGTACAGTAACTCTGTGTGTTCTTTCCACTGACGTTGGGTGCTGCCTGCACCATCCAACGTTCTTCCCCTATAATCTTACAATCGCATATATTAAAGTCGCAAGTTTTCCCTCTGCTCTTTCAGCTTGACATACACTGGTTCCTTCTCTTTTAATTTTCCAACTCCAAGTCTTTGCACAATTTTTTTATATACTTTACTATTTCTTTGCAGGCTGCCTTTTGAAATGTTCTGTTCAACTGTTTCTTCAATTAGCTCCAGCTACACTAGAGTCAAGAGCAAATTTCAGAGTCTCTGCTGACATCCATTTTGGTCTTTTCTTCCTTTTTAAAGAGTTTTGGCTTCACATATGATATCATGTCCTTAATGTCATCCCATAACTTCCCCGGGCTTCAGTCGTGAGTAAAAGAGTCAAATCTGTTCTTGAGAGGCTCTCTAAACTTAGGTGGGATATACTCAAGGTTGTATTCTGTCACTCTTGCACTTGTGATAATTTTCTTCAGCTGCAACATGAATTTATATTTGAGCAATTAATGGTCTGTTCCATCGCTGGCTTCAAGCTTTGTACTGCCTGATGATGTTGAACTTCCCCATCATCTCTTTCCATACATGTGAATGATTGAATTCCTGTGTATTCCATTTGGCCGGGTCCACATGCACAATCCCTGTTCATGTGGTTGAAATAGAAATTTGCATTAAAGTCACTACTGCTACTCATAAAACTTTTAGTGGCTTGACTCTCAGAATTGGATAGCCTATTCCTTCTTCATAGACTACAAATTCCATTGGAACTCGTTTGACCAGAGGTAATCCTGCTGGCATTGGAAATACTAGTGGCACAGCTTCCAGCATCACAACAAGACACAAGCCACCTCAGTACGAGAAACTGACAGACAAACGGTGGTTACTTGCATTATATAACTTAATTTTTAGACTAGGAAGTTATCAATAATTTCTTGAGATTATAGATAATAAAACGAGGTTAACAGAAGTAAAACAAATTGTCTTGGATGACAAAATTGAAAAGCAGATAGGCAAGGTTCTGATCTTAGTTCTCCTAATTCTAAAACGAGAGATAAGTAAATAGCTGAACCGGCCTTCAGATGAGTACTCTGTGTGTATTATGCAGGGAAAGCTGTTTGTTCATCTGACTCGTTCTACTGGGTTAAGGTCGGTTTGGAACGATTAATTTTCTTGTAGTCACACAGGAATTACAAACCACAAAAGGTTAAGAAGCTGTCACTCTACAACTACCCAACTAATAAATTGAGGAGCTCACTCTAAAACATTATTTTAATTTGCAAATTGACATTTAACTTTTATTGGCAAATTTACATGAAAAGAAAAAATAACCATAATGCCATTATTGCTAATGTAAAACTTTTACAAAATTTTAGGAAAAACTAAAAGTTCGGAGTTTTGTAACTATAAGCCAAAATCTACATAAAGGCCATCTGATATGTTGAGCATGACCTCTCAAATGTTACCCCCTCCCCACTGCCCAGTATAGTTCTACCCAGTAGTTATAGCTCCCCCAGCCCCTGTTATGCTTGGTAAAACTTCACCTCACTGACCCCCTCAATATCAAGTCACTTGGCTGGATTTGCATAAAGCATCACACCAAAGGTGATGTTGATGGAGGCAGCTTCCGCATGTCTCCATAGAAATGGCCCCAGGATTGTCCCCAAAATGGCCCTGCTTGGGTTGCCATGGTAAACAACCAGGTTGGATTGCTATATTCAGTTCTCTGCCAAGGTCGCCATGGTGACTGCAAAAAACTGCTCCTTAGGAGGACTTCACAAGGGCGTGTTTCCATGGTGACCCTATCCAGCATATTTCTAAGCAACTTCTCTTCATTTATACTCTGACCAATCATGACAGGTTCACTTTTAGTGTAATCCTGGAAGGTTTTTCCCAAAGATTCCAACATAACACACAGAGATTTGGAAGGTGAGAATGCGTGTATACAAATTAACTTTCTGAAAATATATAAATGTTGCCGTTTGAAAATCATTAAATCCGTTGCTATACATTTTAGGAAGGCTATGTTTTGGGAGTAAATAAAACATAATGATGAGGATTACTATCTCTCTATTCATCGTGTCTCTTTTAAATCTTAATTGGATATATCCTGCAGAATATAAAGCAGATATCTAAAGTTTCAAAATGTCTCCAATTGCATAAATCAGCACATACTTAGGTATTAAATACTTCATGGTGAACATCATGCAAACAAATGAATCCTAAGCACAAACTGACCATCAGGTTGCAACAAGAGCAACAAAGACATTTCTATCGATTGCAAAATGAGGTATATACAAACCAAATTAAAAACAAACAAACAAAAACTGGCTTGTTGTTGGGGGGTGGGAAGGCGCAGAGAGGAGGGTGGTTGGACAGGCCAGCCACAGTTGGACCAAACTACTTTCACGAGTGCTTTCATAGTGGGAACCCTTTGGGATTCCAAAGGACAGTAGCCATTCCCTGGAACAGGCCTCTCTGCCTTGACTGTAAGATGCCTTTGGCAGCCATTGTTTGGATAGGAACTTGCTCTCTACACCTGGATTGCTGAAGTCCACAGTTAGGATTCATGTCATGAGACTGTCTTCATTAACTTTGATATTGCTCAAATGACGGATGGCAACATTAGCACTTTTGAATTAGCTGATCTCTAGCAATGCTTTTGTCACTCATCTAGCTAAATGCCTGCTGAGGCCAAGATATTCACGTAAACATGGAAACACCGACCCATGTGAAGTTCACGCCTCGGGAGCTGTCACAGCAGCTTCTGTTTCTTGTGGAGCAGCATCCCATAAACTTGCTGCAATGCTTTGATTTGGAGATATGTCCACTTGAGCTTTCTTAAAAATTTGGTTATTAGCCCTGATTGCAAAAGTTAGTTTCTACTACACAAAAAGTATTTTTTGCAGATAAAACATTAAGACAAGGGTATATCTGAGAGAACTTGTCTGCAGCCATTCACTGATCACTGGTCACTAAGACATGTATAAAGATGGTATATTTGGAAGAAACCCAAGCATGTGCCGACTGGCACCCTATAGCAATGCATTTGGACACAGTCTTGTATATGAAACAAAGCTACTGCTGTTGTTGTATTGGGCGATCGAGTCCATTCCAACCCATAGCTACACTGTGGGTAGGGTAGACTTGCTCCACAGGACTTCCTAGACAGTAATCATTACAGGGACAGATTACCACATCCTGTCTCCCACCAAGTCATTAGTGGGTTCAGATCACCAATCTTTCAGTTAGCAGCTAACTGGGTTCCTAAAATAAGTACCTACTCAATATGAATCTAAGTTCTTAAATTAAAATACATATATTAGAATGCATCTTTCACATAATACGCAACAGACGTTAACTAGAATAATAAAATCCCCCCTCGGCACTTGCTTTCTGAGAAATCGTACTGTTTGAAGTCCATCAGGAGACAAATCTCTTGCTAGTTTTGAAATCAGAAAATAATTCCAAGCAGATAATACAATTAAGAAAATATGGAAAGATGGAAAATCTAAATACTAAAATATTTGTGGGTAAAATAATAACCTTTAGAAATCTTCAGACTGAATGCTGCCCATATAAAAGAACAGTTTTTGAATTGATCAAGTATTTTAAAGAAAGTCAAATGTATCTCAAAAATGAGCCCAGAGAAAGATGAACATCAACCTGTAAGGAGAAGGGAAATGTGGGAGAGACCCAAGTCAAAACTGAAACCCAGTGATGAGTTTATGACAGTTCATTACATCAGTAGGTCCCTCTCTTTACCTTCAAAAATATCCATAAGAAAAACATTAAACTTCTAAAGATAGCCCCTTTAAAGACATATAGAGAGCGGCCATACCAGGAGGGGAAGGGGAAGATGGGGGAGAATAGGGGAACCGATCACAATGATCAACATACAACCCCCTCCCTGAGGGGCGAACAACAGAAAAGTGGGTGAAGGGAGACATCGGTCAGTGAAAGACACGACAAAATAATAACAATGTATAAATTATCAAGGGTTCATGAGGGAGAGGGAAAAATGAGGAACTGATAACAAGGGCTCCAGTAGAAAGAAAATGTTTTGAGAAGGATGATCGTAACAAATGTACAAATGTGCTTGACACAATGGATGGATGGATGGATTGTGAGAAGACTTGTACGAGCCCCCGATACAATGATTTTTTAAAAAAGACATCTAGAGCAAGTATAATTTTTTAGAAACACAAACGAGCTTCATACAAATAGCCTATAAGCATCAACTAGATTTATTTATTAAGTACATATTGTTTTCTCTCTCACACAACACTCTCCTCTTATATCTAGGTTTTATCATTATTGGAATAGCCACACAGAACTCACAGACAACACTCACAATTACAGGGTTCTATTGGGGGAGTTTTAACAGGTTACCACAAGTCAGAGTCAGTAGAGTAATTCGAAAAGAATGTAACTGAATTCCATGTTGCTATAAAATTTTTAGACAATGAATTCTGTGTCATTACACCAAGAAATTTAAAATCTTACCAGATCTGTATCTGCCTTTTTGTAGGTCAAAGCTTCAACTTTGGAATCCAATTCTGCTTGTATTTGATCTCTCCTTTTCATAACACCCTTCATATAAAAAATGAGTGTAAAAGAGGTTATACTTAGTTTGACAAAATTTTTCATGTTTTTTTTCTCTAAACAAAATAGCTTCTCGTCCCCCAAGCCATGATTCATTCAATAATATAAAGTCTATAGGGAAAAAATTCAAAAATTTAAAAGCCACATCAAAAGGAAGTATATATTTTTAATTATAAATCTTTTATTAGCACTCCCAATGTACATTTTACACACTGAGCCCTAAACAATTGCTAACCATCAATTGCTAAGACTATCACTTGCTCATAGGCAAGTTCAAGTTAAAGATAAAGAAAACTACAACAAGAAATGCCAGCCAAAGTTTGAGAGTGCGTCTATCCCATCTGAATCCAGACACCATTTCACAGACAGATTTGACATACTTCACACCAATGGCCAAAGATTAGACAAGCTGTCAGATGAAATCAAGGACACCATATATGAAGACACTAAAAGGTCATTACAAAAACAAGAAAATACTGAAATAGGGATCGGAGAGGCTATGAAGCTTGCTCTTGAATACAGAGTAGCTGAAGTTAGTGAAGAAATGAAGAAGTAAAAGATCTGAACAGGGGGTTTTAAAGGGTGGCTCAAGAAGGCAAAGCATTATAACAGATGTGCAAAGACTTGAAATTTAAAAAATCAGTAACACAGCATTTCTCAAGCTGAAAGCATTGAAGAAAATATTCAAATCTTGAGTGAGAAGAGTGGAGGATTCTTGGACAAAATATTGAACAAGGTAGGAACCATCAAAAGGTGCTAAATGTACACTCATTTTTACCAAGAACAGTTGGTTATGTTTAGTCGTGTCAGGAGACAGCACCTGGTCAGGAACGACGGCACTGAAGAAGGAAACCCCGGCTTCCCTGAAGGCACTGGCTCCAGAAATTGACAGAATACCAACTGACATGTTTCAACAAACAGGTATAACTTGAGAAATGCTCACTTGTCTATGCTCTGAATTTTGGAAGACACTTACATGGCAAATCAATCTTAAGATATCCATATTTGTGCTCAGCAAAGAACGGTGATCTAACGGAATGTGGAAATTATTGAACAATACTCTTAATATATCACACACTAGTAGATTTTTAGTAAAAATAATTCAAAAAGCATTGCTGCACTAGACAGGCAGGGATCAGCCAGAAATCCAAGGCAGGGAGAGCAAAGAGGATATGAATAAAAGACATCACTGCTGATGTCAGGTTGAAAACTAGATATGTGTTTTCCTGTGTTTCATTGACAATTTATCTGTGTGGACATAGAAATTATGGGTATCACTGCAGAGAATGGGAATTACAGAACACGTAACAGAGCTCATGAAGACTGTACATGAAGCAAGGGGCACTCATTCAAACAGAACAAGGGGCTATTGAGTGGTTTCCAAAGAGAAAAGCTGTGTGTCAGACTATGTGAAAGACACAGTATCAGGAATAAAGGAAGACCCAGAAACAGCCTGTGATACATAGAAGATACAACTTTGGTGACAGCAGAAGACTCAAAACACTTACAGATGAAGATCAAAGACAATAGTCTCCAGTATGTATATCACATTATGATAAATAGAAAAATGATTGAAATTGCCACAGATTTCATTTTACGTGGATCCACAGTCAACACCCATGGAAACTGCAGGCAAATAATCAATGTATGGCAGTGGACAAATGTCTCAAGATCTCTTTAAAGCATTGAAAAGCAAAGATGTTACTTTGAGTGCAAAGTTGCTCCTGACCCAAGCCATTGAATTTTCAATCGTCTTATATACATGTGAAAGCTGGACAAGGACTATTGTTATGTGCCACTGAGTCCCTTCCGACCCATAGCGATGGTCTGACCAACAGAACTAAACACTGCCAGTCCTGTGCCATCCCACAGTTGCCCCTATGCGGGAGCCCATTGTTGCAGGACAATGAAGCAGGAAGACCAGGAAAAATGAAAGCATCTGACTGACGGTCTAGGTGAAGAACACTGCAAGTACCGTGGCTATCAGAAGAGCATGCAAGCCTGGCCTGGAGGAAGCGCTGCCAGAATACTCCCTAACAGGGAGGGCGGTGAGACTTCACCTAGCATGCGAGTACAGGTGACCAGAAGCAGCCAGTCTCTGAAGAGGGGCGGTCTGCTTAGTTAAGTAGAGAAGCAACGCAGAAGAGCGAGACTGACCCCGAGGCTGCACCAAGGGCAGACTGTGAAGACAGGACAGGACCAGGCAATGCTTCCTACTGTAGTCCAAAGGCCCCAGTGAGCAGGGACCAATTCAACAGACCTAACAACAAAAACACGTGCTGTCTGTACAGTCTTCAAAGGGGCACTCGAACCATGCACAATTCTTCAAAATAAGCTACAAACAAAACAAGGAATCCAACAAAAGAGAACCAGCAGGAGCAGGAACGCATAAATGAGGTGTAGCTGAGAGGTTTCCATGGGACTCTCACCTGACTCTCACCGCGGCAGCCCTCTTATCAAGCCCAAAGGAATGGTTAATCAAAACAGGCAATTACAGTGGGGAATCAGAAAATTAAAAGTATGTGTTCACAGCTACTTTTGAGCATTTTATTTTTGCTCAAAATGTATAAATATTCATTAATTAGCCAAGGCTTTGATGAGAAATCATGGCCTTTCTTTGAATGACAGGAGTCCCAACTTGCTTCCCTGAATAAACATGATTTTGTTTCAGTGTCTTTAAACTGAATATATTCTTGTGAAGCAATTGAATGCAGAATCCATCTACATCTCTTATTACTATTGCCAATCTTTTATAATATCTTTCTCTTGAAAATCCACTTTTCTAAAAAAAAAATTCTATTTCTTTTTTATAAACATCAGGACCCTTAAAAAATTGTACTCATATTTCATTAGTTTTCACTGTATCAAATAACAAAAACCTACTAAACACAAATGGCTTGAAAAGACTGAGGAAAAATTACAGTTAAATCTGGGTAAGCAAATAACTGTTGAGGAAAATGCAAGGCTGTGAAGAGAAGGGCTGAAAGTAGACATCAGTCAGAGAAGACATCTCCATAGTATTTGAGTATGAATGGAGAGTCATTAAAGATAAAAATAATCCTGAGGTTGTGTGACTGGTGGAGGCGCTCTTAAAACATTCAACAGATATCTAACATGTCTCTGAGTTTTAGAGAAAACAGAAAACTTCAATTCAGTACCATAGGTTCCCTAGAATTTATTTCAATGTTCAAACAGCATTAAGGTTGGAAAACATATTTTTCTGCCCCACATGACTCACAGTAGGTTAGTCCTATGGTGCAGTGAAATTTCATATGTCCCTTCTAACCAGGTCTCTGTAACTCCCACCCAATGATTGGGTGAGATTATGCAAATCAGGTGTGTGAAACTCTCATAGAGGGGATTGATTGGTCCCTTTAGTTGCCATCCTCCTAGCCATAAGAGAGCTATCTCAGAAGCAGGAACAGGGAGACTCCTGGGACCATCAAAGAAGAAGTACTAGGGAAGCACGTTTGATGTCCCTGCCTGAGTAATGGAGGCCGAGATCAGAAGCTGCTGCACTGGAGACCATGGGGCAGAACACAAGTGCCACACTGAGACCAAACAGTGAGGAGGTGCCTTGAGACCATTAGAAAGTGAGGTGGAGGAGCAAGCAGGCTTCTGGCCGAAGGAGGCAGAGGCCAATAGGCTGAGTGGCTGAGGATCAGAGAGAGACTTGCTACTGGTTGGGGAAAGGTATGCCTGTGGACAAAAGACTATGTATCCTTAATGTTTACTGATCCTGACTTGTGGTAACCTATCCGTTTTCAATTTCCCTGGTAAACCCCTAGAATGGTGAGTGTGGTCAGTGACTTGCATGCAGCCACTGTAGAATTCAGCATAGAAGAAGAATGCTCTGGGAAGAATGTCAGGTATCAGAACAGGATTAAAGGACAGAGGATGGAGGCATGTCTGATCTCTGCCTTGTTTGTGGCAATAAACCTTGGGCTGGTGAAGAGCTGAATTTTCCTCCTCCCTTGGGTAACCACAGGGTCAGCTCTGGCCTCCATGCCATTTAAACAAGTCCCATTTATTTCAAGACTATTTTCATAAATATGAAGGACTGTGCTAGAAGTAGCTAGAAAAATGTTTAATAAGAATAGGTCAAAGAAGATAAGTGAAAATTACATAAACTTATTTTCTCAAGACATATATTTTTCATTATTTTAGCCCAAACTAAAAAAAAAAAATTGTAACATAGAATAAGAACACTGCAAAATACTAGTAGTGATCATACCCCCAAAAGAATGCACAGTAAAACCCTCAAAGGAAGGCTTCAAAAATATTTTCGAGGGGGTTGTTGTAATTCTCCCACATGCATAAGGGCACAAGACTTAAAAACAGTCTGCCCATAATTTCCATTTTGACATAACAAAGATAAATTATCTTTTATTTAATGGGGAGTACGGTGTATACTCATGTATAAGCCAACCTGAATATCAGCCGAGGTACCTAATTTTACCACAAAAACTTCATTAAAAAGGTGCTGAAAAACTCGGCTTTTACATGAGTATATACAGTACATTATTTTTAGTGATACAAATCTGATTTCTTTGACAACCGACACAAGAGAGATCAATAATGAAATAAATCACAGGATATAGTTGAGGAATTTTGACAGAAACAGGGAGACCCCACAGCAGTAACTTTAGAAACTCCTAGGAAGGACGATGGATTTGTACCCAGGAGAACTGCAGTAAGGCCAAGTAACAGCAGAAATCTGAAATATCCTGCAAGGACTTACGCTGGCTCTGTCAAAGGACCTAAACATGCGAAAGGCAGATAAGCTCTCTCCACACTGCAGGCTGAGAGAGCTCTTCTTACCAAGGCAAACGCAAAGTATTAAAAAAAAAAAAAAAAGAATCCTAGAAATCAAAAGTACGGGAAAACCAAACTCAGGCGTGGCTGTGAGTGGCTATGATCGTCAGCAGTACAAATGGGCTGGTGCTGAAGGGGGCCGACTATTTCTCCTGCCTTCGCCCTAAAACCCCGACCTGAAGGCATTGGTGTGGCTGTTCAGGGACTTTGGAGAAATGATAATAATAAATGTTTAGCATTAGCTTTGCTGAAAGCATTGCCTAAACCCAAATATTTGGAAACTTTAACTTGAAGTGAGGAGTGGAACTGCAAAACTTTGATTTAGGAATACTTACAAGGCATTTTAAGGACTGTTTTTTGTTTGTTTTGGAAGCATCTGCAACAGAACAAAGAAGTGCCAAGGTCCCCCTCAATACTCTGCACAGGATGGTGCTTAGGGAATTGCTAACCCAACCATCCCTGGGAAAACAGGGCTTCAAACTGGTTGCTCCATGCTCAGCCCTGGCCAATGAAGGGAAACCAGAATAGATTCGAACTTTTAAAATCTGGTTAAACAAGAACAATAGTCAGAATGGGGAAAATCATGGGTCAACGCCCTAATAGCAACTTTAAAACTCTCTTAGAAAACCAGAGGAGTTTATGCATTGCACAGCAAATCATAGCATTTTTCTGTCCGATTTTGAAAAGAGAAAACTGTGGTCCCTCATTCAAAGAAGCCAGGGCCCCGGTGTGAATGTGTGTGGTTCTCTACAGGCCTCCTAAAAGCGCTCATTATGTCTCCTCTGAGTCTCACCTTCCAAAGCTTGGAACCATAATTTTTCCCTAACGTTTCCATAGCTGTTCTGGTTATTGTTCTAGATCACCCAAATTAAAAATTCAGATCTGTTCCAGTTTCACTTCATCAGCCATGACTGAACTAATTCAAAGCCCTTAGACTTGAAAAAGGACAAACAATTCTTTGATGAAAGAAAACCCCAAAGCATGTAAAGTTCTTAAAACAGAATTTTTTAAAAAAAAACTTAAAGTTGTAGAAACTAATCATTTTCCCTAAGTAGATCTTGACTGAGAATGCTTTGAATCTATACATAATCTTCTGAGTATTTTTTTGGTGGCTGTTGAGTATTGCTGTCTTTTATTAATGTAGTTTTACACTTACCTGTCCATTCCATCATTGAACAAATATTTATGGAGCATCTACCTGCAACGCATCCTGGTAGGCCGGTCAGAAAGTCGTACCCCAAACAATTAGAAGCTACTTTAAAAGAGCATATAATCAGGTCAGGGACAGAGGTGAAATAGTAATTAAGTGTTCTTACCATTAACATTTCGCTATAAAGTACATACTCATGCACGACAGGCAGCAGAGTCTCCGAGAGTCCAAACATCCGTTTTTCAGTGGCCTTACAGCACTTGTCGATGCAGCTAGCAATGCCTTTTAGGCTGTCAACCAGATCCTCTTCGGATGCAGACCACAGAATATGAATTGGCCCATATTCTTTCATTTCCTCAAAATAGTCTACAAAAAAATGGCTTCTTAATAACGTCTTCAATTTCCAGAAGTTTTCAAACTCCCAATATACAGCACAAAAAGACCTTTTCTCATTGTGCACACGTTCTCACACACAAGCATGAAAAAAATGAATATCATCTATCATTAACTGACTAGCATCCCAGTTTTTCCAAGTTTGTCCTTGAATCTCAATTGTCCAGGTATAATCCACAAGGGCATCCCTCCCTTTACAGTCTCAAAGGTGTCCTAGTTCAGAAGATAAATTAAACAATCATGTCTGTCTGGATTTCTAAATGAGCACTACGCAGCTTTAGAACTGAAAATCTGAATCATTTTCTATGGGTTTAGGCTCAAAATTACTACAATGAAGACCCTACACCTCTTATTTCTTCTAATGCTTCTGGCTCTGTCCTTTCCTAATGTGTATGGACTCTTTATTATTTTAATGTCTGCACTTTTTATGATCTCATCCACAATTCCTTCATGAGTGGAAAGTATTAAGAACATTCATCCCAAATTCAGTGATTTACTGTTACGCTGATGTGTTTTAGACACAAACATTACCTTGTTTGGGTTCCTTCCGAGTCACACTATGTATGGGAGAAAGAGGAGCCTTACTCCCCACAGGGGCTGTCTACCCTTCCTGTCCTACAGGGTCACTAGGAACTGGAACTGACTTGATGGCAGTGGGTAATAATACTACAGGGACACCAGGAGTCAGAACTGACTGAATGGCAGGGGGGTAACAGGGGTTATTGTTTACTATACCCAAGGGTGGAAATAAAAGCCTTCCCCAAGAAGCAGCAGAACAGACATTAATTCTGATCTCCTGACTGTAGGCTCAGTCATGCTCTGAACCACGAATCCTTAGTGTTGCCTAGGCTTATTTGGTGCTGCTGGTATACTTCTTAAACTGTTGAGAAATTCTTTTATGAATTACATTTTCATTTCTCAAAAAGAGTATATTTCTGCTGATAAATGTCTTTCCTTTCAGCACTATGCTGTGTGGATACCATGAGGTTCTATAACTTCTACCGCTATCCTCTTCTCCAAGGATGAGGAGCCAAGGTCCTGGGGGCAAAAGAAAAAGAAACGCTATGAAGATATGGATGCGATAGTCAAGTGTGGTGAGGAAACTAGATGGTGTCCAGAAAGAACAGCACTTGGGATTTGAAAGGTTTGTTTTCAAACCAACTGCTACCTAAGTGAGGCATCAACTAAGTCCACATGAAAGAAGCACACCAGCCTCTGTAACTCAAGATTTATGAATAACATAATCCAAATCTAAAGGAGGGAATGGTGTCAGAGCTGAAATTGTGAACACTTTGTTTGCAGAAGGCTATGGCTAACAGTGGAAGCCCCAAATCCATTTGCAGAATCCACACATGGATTTAGCCTCTGCTGAATCCCCTCCAATCCTAGTTGAGGAATGTAACTATCCCTGTTATCAGACAGAGGGCACTGTAGAGTCAATTATGGCAGATGTAGTGGGGTCACAATGCAATGTCTTATTTGATCTCCCTTTTGAGCCATTTTCAAGTTATTTCAGTTTTCTTTAAAATGAAGAGGAAATCTACATGGATTAAGCTGGTTAATCCCCACTGACCATAGACCAGGGATGTGAATAGCTTTGCTAACACAAAGAATTCCTTGGAAAGTGGGTTGTCACAGATACAGTTAGGTTAAAATTCAGTACCCTATCATATGACTTCCCTTATGATCCATTTAAATTCATTTTAGTGTTTAATATTTTCTAATTTCTGATTAAGATTTTTATTGGTTTTACTCTGTTATTCTTGTTAGTTTTTGTTTGTTTTTAATGTTTTTCTGTATCTGAAATCCAGAATAAGTGTATAGAGACAGGAATTGGATTAGTGGTTTCCTGGGGATATGTGAGGGGAGGCTGGGGTAAATGGGGAGCTAACAATGAGTACAAGAATGAAAAAATGTTCTAAAACTGATTGTGGTGATGATTGTACAACTCTTCTTGGTGTGACTGAATATTGAATTGTGTGATGTGTGAATTACACGTTAATAAACTGCTGGGGGAAAAAGAGAGGCTTAGACATTCAGTGATCCCTGGTCTGCCAAACTGGCAAGCAATAGACCACCAGGCAACAGCCTCTATCTATCATAAGGCATGCACAACGAGGCTCAAGAACTCCTGTGTGAATCAGCACAGAGACTGTGATAGCCTGCTGAAAATGCTTCTGTAATTCTTACTCACAGATCTAATACTTCAAACACATCGCTTAGTTAAAGGTCCAATTTTTAAAGAATAGCTTTAGACTAGATCTCTCTCCTCAGCTCTACAAACATAGGCATACACCTGGCTACTAGTGACTGAAAAGTTGGCTGTTACAATACACCTGGAGAGAACGCTGAAGACAGGAGTGGCAATTTTCTTCTGAAAGGTCAGCCTTGAAAACTCAATGGAGCAGTTCTACTCTACATACACAGAGAGCTACCATGAGTCAGAGCAGCAGCAGTGCTCAACCTGTGGGTCCCAACCCCTTTGGGGAGGGAATGACCCTTTCACAGGGGTCACCCGATTGGTAACAGTAGCAAAATTAGTTACGAAGTAGCAACGAAAATAATTTTATGGTTGGGGGTCACCACAACATGAGGAACTATTAAAGGGCGACGGCATTAGGAAGGTTGAGAACCACTGAATCAGAGTCAACTTGATGGCAATTAGGAAAAACAGTTGCACAAGTCCTCATAGACAACATGCTTTAAAACATAGCTTCTTACTCCACCTTCCCTGATTACATAGCCTACTTAATCACGATTCATCCATCGAAGCAAAAAGTCTGGGGTTAATCTTAAGACTCCCACTTGCACAGAACTAATTAATTATCAATTCTAATATGTCTAGATCTCCCTGTCTAGTTCCACCTTCATCAGCACCTCTAACCTACAGTGCGAGGAGAATTCTAACTATTCTCTGCTTTCATTCTTTTGTGGTATACAAATATCAAAGAGTCTTAGTTGGAGTTATAAAGTCATTTGTAATCATTTTGCCCACCCCCACCCAGCTTTTCAAGTTCAACTTCTGAGATTCTCTGCCATGTATATTTTGACTCAAGTCAAAATATTTGCTCACTCATAATTTTATATCTCTATTAAAGCATTAACTCACTGTATTATAATGCTTATATAACTCACATGCTACTTAAAACAGGGACTGAGTGTTCTTATTTTTATCTCAAAGTCTGATACATAATGTGCTTAATAAATATTTTCATATCAATGCAAGAATTATTAAGTGATTAATGAAAGCTATTCAATGCTTGGTAAGGCATTTATTCAAATGTCTGGAGTTCATTTTAAAATCTGAATATTTTTCCTTTTTTTTTTTTTTACTTTCACAGTATCAACACTCAATGACAAATAGCTTTGTACATTTATGGAACTTATTAACAGTGAATATTTTTATCTAATATTCATATAAATATAATTATTTTATCTAATATTCATGATTACAATAACACATTTAATCACCTTACTGCATATTAAAGTTGGCTGAAATCTGCCATACTGGTATAAATCAAGTGTCTGTACATTCAAATAAGGGAACACTATGAAGGAATGACAATGACATTTACAGTTCTTCATAACTCCCACTCCCTTGAGCACAGGTCTGGCCATTATTCTAAGTAACGGCCACATTTTGCTTATATTTCCAGAATGGTAAATTTCCACTTTATTTCATTCCTCAATTTATGTTCGTCAATGTGTGCCATTATACCAACTGCCATCAAATTGATTCTGACTCACAGTGACCCATTAAAGGGTTTCCAAGGTTGTAAGTATTCATCAGAGCAGACAGCCTCATCTTTCTCCTGAGGAGCAGCTGGTGGGCTTGAACAGTCAACTTTTCATTTATCAGTCTCATGTTTACCTGTAGAATATTTATTCTTCCAAACAGAGCTTCTATAAAATTCTAAACTGTGATTACATAGAAATAAGTAACATCACCATGCAAATAACTAATGACCTGCACTCTAATTTATCTGTCAATGCATCTGCTTTCCCAGCTAGATGGTAAACTCAAGGACAGACACAATAATGTTCTTCCTTTACTTTCTAGCACAAACTAACATACTATAATCAATTGAATTTTTCTCAGTAACTGGGAGACACAAAATAAAACAAAATCAAACAAACATTAAGATGAAAACTCAAAAGTATATCAAAAGAAACCCTACTAGTTCCAATCAACAATTTGGGGGGGGAACATGAATATAAATAAACCACCCTACCAAGCTATGGCAAGACCATATTTCAAAAGGAAGCAATGGTCTCAGAATTTTAAATAAACTTTGGCAAGTGAGCTTTAGATTATGAAGACCAAGAAGCCTCTTAACTATACTGTCAAGTCCTGCATAAATTTCTGTGACTGGTTCATATCTTGGGATCCATGTTTTTGTTGGATGATTTCCAGGCCTTTCTTCCGAATTTATCCAATGTCTTGAAGCCCTGCTGAAAGCTACTCAATATTAGTGACCGAAATTTGTCCAACAAACTATTCAGAAAATGAAAAAAGATATCACAGACTCAACAATTACAGTGGAGGACTTTAATACATTGCTTTCATAGAAAGACAGATCATTGGGAAGGAAGCTCAGCAACGAGACTATAGAGCTAAACATTGCAATTAGGCAACTAGATTTGATAAACATATTTAGATCTTTCCATCCAAATGCAAAATAAATACACATTCTTCTCAAGCGTGCACGGCAAAAAAACTGAAATATCATAGCGACATATAAACCTTCACTTTCAAATGCATAGTGAGGTGTATCAGGCTGAGACTTACACCTGGAACTCCGACACAAGGTGAGCAATCTATCAATGAACCACCACTGTCACATAAATATGTTCACATTCATTTAAAAAGAAACAAACAAAAATTATTTTTCACTCTCCCCTAATAGAATGTCAAATTTTTTAAAGCCTAGTACAAAATCCAGTCATCCTTCTGAGCACTTCATATCTAGAAGAGCCTATCAAAGATGTTGAAACTCTTCCCTGGCACAAGTCAATAGAATAGTTCCCAAGTGTTAGAGCCAGATTTCCATTAAGTATACGCTCTTATCACCATTCCAAATCTTATGTTCATTTATTTTTCCAAATTGAAGAAATGTCAGTTGATTGCCTATTATGTTTTAGACACTATCTTGATACTCAATACTAGACATTACTAATTCTAGATACTAAAAATAAAACTCCCCCATTTATCGTCATGGATTTTATTATCTAGTGCAAATATAGGCATTAAACAAGCTATTCATGTAAAGACTTTGGTTTGTCTTTAATAACTCTTTATCTTTAATGCAAATTTATATTAAGGAATATATTTGCTAACTACTTATCTTTGATGCAGCTAAATGTAATATAACATCTTCAAATTAAGAGAAAAAAAAGCATGCAGTAAAGTCTAACTTTAACATGAACAAAAAGGAAAGAAAACAGAAATTAAGCAGTGATTAAAAAGACTTGTTTTCCAAATATAAATCTATTTATCATTATTGGGGAAATCCAGTTCTAAGCCATACCCCCCAAATTGCTTCAGAAAATATGGAAACAATTTTCTTGAAACATTACCTTTTAATTAAGATATAGTCTATATTAAACAGGTCTGATCAACTTCATATAATTTATCTAAACCCTTAAGTTTTCTATTTTTACCTACAAACAGAAACTAGACTGGGTAGTGGCTAAGGAAAGCAATGCAATCTCACCCTGCCTACCTCCATGATGGTTTACGAATCAGAAAAAGGTCACAGCATGCTCGGCGTAATCCACTCTCTGCAGGTGATACTACTCTAATCTAATGTTGTCATACTAGGCCAGAAAACAAGGGAAAGCACCGATCAGAGCCTACATACCTCTTTCTTCCTTGTAAATTCTCTGTGATATTTTATCTATCAAATTTATTTTCTGGCTAAATGTTTCAATGAAGTTATTCATATCCATGAACTCCTCGGGGCGGTTCTTGACTCCTCTCAGGGAGGATGCAACAGCTCGGGCAGTCTGTCCCATCCGGCTGAGCAATCCAGGCCCCTGTTTCTTGTGAGACGAGAGTTCCTAGGAAGAAAGGGGAAAAAACAGAAAGAGAGATATACATAGTGTAGTGAAGTAAGCAACAATAGTCAAAAAGACTCAAAAACATAAGGAAACTAATTAGAAAAATAAAATGAAGATAATTAAAATATTCACATAGGTCTTTTAAATAGCATGGTAGAGAAATGTTTCAGTGCTAGTTTGAAGCAAATGAATGTAACTTGGCCATAATTCTTCTTCATGTCCATTTTCTTGGTAATATTCCCTTTTTAAGTACTTGTGGAAAACATGTATGCGGTCTCCCGTCGAAGCATACATCTTTAAAAGAATGTTTAGCAGTGAGAATAGTGCTCAAGGAGATACTAGAGAAGATAAGAGGATGATGGAATACGCAATCTGTATTTTATAACAGCAATTTAATGGGAAAGAGGTTAAAGGAAGATTTCTCAGGGTCTAAGTTATATCATTAAACAAAAATTAGAAAACCCCATTTATTTTTCAGTCATAATAAAATCCACTGCCATCCAGTCTATTCCTAATCAGAGTGACTCCGTAGGACAGAGTAGAACTATGCCTTAAAAAGATGCCTGAAACTGTAACAACTGATGGGAGCAGGCAACTTCATCTTTTTCCTATGAAGGGGTTGGCCGGATTGAACCGCTGACTAGTAATTAGCAGCCCAGGGCTTTTCCTTTGTACCACCTGGGCGCCCCTCAGTCATAACAGTAGCTAATGTTTGTTGACAGAGTATTCAAGACACTATATTCACAATTTATAGACACAATTTAGAGTACTCTATGAAATAGGTCCTATTATCACAACTATTACTGAAGTAAATCAAGGCAGAGAAAGGTCAGGTAACTTGTTCATGGTCCAAGCGCTAATAAAGAGTGGAGCAAAAATCAGAGCTTCCCCAGACTGACCCCATAGATTTGGTTGTTTAGCATCCGTCTACTTTGCTTCTGTACAGTCATTTGATGAGTTTACTAAGAGATACTACATGATACAACATAAGTCCTCAACCAAATGAACAGGAGAGTAAATTATGATAGCCTTTCCACTGGCTGTTTGACAGAGTTTCTTAGAAGATACGTAACTAACTGGTTCCTAGGAACCTAGAGGGACAGTCGCAAACATGCTAAATTACAGACATATGCTAAGTATACACTACACAGAAGTCTGTCTTCAGAAGTCTGAGCATGTTTAAAGACAAAAAGAAAAGAGAGAACAAGGGGTCCTGATGATAGCTGTAGCCCTTGTAGAAGATTCTTGAACACAGGTTTTGGGACAAAGAGAAGTAAAGGAATAACACACAAGAACAAAAATCTACAAATAACAATGCTGCTTACCTAATTCACTGATAATTATATTATGTTTTATTTGTCTACCCCAATTATTAAATGAAATATTATCTACCTTTATCCAGGTTTTCTTTCCTGGTTTTACAGAAAACAATATATAAACATATTTATTTCTAAGTCATTATGACTTGTGTGTGACTATCAACAGCTTCCCCCGCCCTTGACCAGACAATGTAGACATCTAGGAATGCTGAGGCATTATTTGACAGAGTAAGCACTATCCGTGACAGCCCAAATCACAAGTGACAAACTGTTGTTGCAACTGCTGATAGCAGAGAACGTTTCTCATAGCTTCTAAGGTTCTGGCGCTGGGCCACAAATTCATTTCACGTTAGCTGCAAGAAGCTTCCCAACAGTAGGTGAGATGACCCACTGTGGAGCTTCTGCTACTTTGGCCACAACTGAAGCACAGACACCTCAACATTGGCCAGTAATTGTTTCAAGGAAACCAAATGTCTATCTATTCTCTTTCGTATTGAAGTATGTGCACACGAAAACACAACAAGGAAGAGGAAGGCACACAGTTTAGTCAATGGAAATGAGATCAAATACATCAAGCAACCAAAGTACAGGTAAATTGTTGTAGTATGCATCAATCTATCTAATAAAATGTATATATACATTTGGAAAATGCTTACCCAATTTCACACCAAAATGCCTCTGTAAAAGAATAAATTTGTATATGAACTGCATTGGCTATATATGCACTCTGGCTAGACAAGAAAATTTCTATCAAGAAAAATTAGTATTTGTATGAAGGGAAGAAAAAAGATTTCTGTAATGGTTTTAATGTAGAATTGACACAAAGCTTTAACTGAAGGCTCGCTCTTCTGTATATTTTTAAAGCCAGCTTAAAGACACTGATGCCTGATTTATAAAGGTAATAAAGGAGGGGGTCTATGCTCAGACAATCAACTCTACACAGATGGACAAGGATGATATGAATGTAAGTCAGATTTTGTTACCCAGGCTTGTGCAGTAAGAAAAACTTTAAAGTCTTCATTAAATGTTAAAGTTGGATGATCAGCAATCCGATTTAAAAATTTATGCAATGCCTTCCTCCGGGTCTCAATGAAGTCATCATTGAAGCGTTCCACCATCCCTTTTACTATAAACTTTTCTGGCAATGGCTGAAATAAAAACAGGTGTCTGAGAATTATATTGCACAAGCTTATTAGCAACTCTACAGTTCACTTCCTTTCTTTGAAGAATAGCATGCATTTAATCAATCCCTGCAAAATGCTATTTTTTGCACTCACATAAAAAGAACCAATAGCTAAGAAATTATAACACACTACAATAACTTTTAAAAAGATAAAAATAGCTTGAATATCTTGGGGAAAAATTCTTTTCAATAAATGAGCACAATTGGATCTAAAGGTCTCAGGTTAGATTTTAGGCGTTTGAAAGACTGGGGTGACAATATGGCAGGCAGTAAGACTATGAAACGCTTGGAAAGCTTACAGGAATAATCAGAGTGGGGTGCGCTTCTTCAAGTTTTCCCTTCAGCCACAGGAAATCTTGGTAGCGTCGTCTAACTTCAAATTCACTAGCATCAAATTCACCACGAGATGTCTGAAGAAAGAAAGTGGGGGGAAATAACAACACATGCAACATAAGATGGAAGACATTTGCCTGATGCTATTTTAGACACTGGAAAAGAAATGGATCTCTTTAGGAAAAATGTTAAACCTTAATTTTTCAGCATTTGCCAGCCTGCAAACTTTCTAAATCTTTTTAAATTTTGCAGCCATTTACTCATGTAGCACATGAAACAAAGCGAACTTTTTGATATTTCCTGAAAGAAAGCAAACATAATGCTGAAATTTTAAATCCACATTGAAAAAGAAATCTGTCTTCTAACAACCAGCTGGCTTCCACAAGATTTTAACTACTATTATCTTTGGCATGACTTTCTCGCTAACAAGTGTGATCTGAATTTAGGTTTCAAACATATAGCTTTTTTCAAGATGACTAGAATTCAGAATTTGAGGAAAGTCCTATTTTTATAGGCTGGAAAATAACCTGGATGGATGTAAATGAGAAAAACGCCTTTCTGGGATTTGCTCAAATGACTTACTTTGCTAAACATGTGATTTTAGTGTATGAAAATTCTAACATTTTGCAGAGTGATTTTATCACTGTTTGAAAAATGTTATTAATGGATATTTGATGTGAAAAGGAAAACTTCCTGCCATTTCGCAAGAATTTTATTTAGAGCTGTATGCCTAAACTCTTAAAAATTAAGCAAGGCATTAAAAATATATGTTCCCAACATACAAAAAAACCTATGCCAAATTTTATGGCAAGAATAAAACATGGAACTAATCTCAATATCATTTCTGCTGCCTGAATTCCACGCCAAATACAAAAACCTGGATCTTTCAAAGCATCTCTCTCACAAGAAAACTCTTGAACAGACCACCACCACCCACTGGGATCTAGCTGGTTGATTTGGAGGGATGTAGATTGCCTTGTATTTCCTCTGACTCTTAAGTTTGGTTGAAATTTGTTCAGCATCATAGCAACATGCAAGCCTCTACTGACAGATTGATGGACACCACATGTGCATGAGGTGCACTGGTGGGACTTGAACCTAGGACACCATCATGAAAGACAGGAAATCTACCACCACTGCCCCTGTTTGAAATCAATTATTAAATCACCAATATGTATACAGTATTAAGTACTTAGTTCTATCATCATCTCAGTTTATAAATTTAAAAAAATGAGGCTTGAAGGTATTAAATTTATGCTTTTAATTTCTTTGCCATATTGACTCCAATGTTTTGCATTCTATAAGAGTGAAGTTAGTGAGAGAATACAGAGAAAAGTGAAAAAGTTTGTGAGAGGAGCAGTGAAAAAATGAAGGAAGTTTTCACTAACAACTAATAGTTTGTGTTTGGGCTTGAAAAAAATAGTCTTTCAGTGTGAGAGGGGGAAGGACACATAAAAAATCAACAAACTCACAAAAACAAGAAATACCAGTGAATACGCAACACGAGATGTCATGCTAGGAGAGTGGAGCTCAAAGGTCCACGTGGGGAGTCAGAATAGGAGTTGAGGATGGTAGGTTGCCATCAGAACAGGAAGCTGTTATAAATGTCATACAAACAAATGTGAGCTTTGTTCGATAGGGAATGGAGTCGAAGGAGATTTTTTTAAGTATTTGAGTGAAGAGATCAGATTCCTTTTTTTTTTTAAAGAAATACAGAAAGAATATTAGCAGCAGTGTGGACACTGCATTCAAAGTCATGAGTATTCTGCTACACAAGAGGTTCATTTTTACACTTATGAGCCACAGGCTTTCAAAACCAAAATTTTATAATAAAGGGCAGATAAATCTTACTGGTTGAAGGTATAAGTCAAAATGGTTGAAGGTATAAGTCAAAGCAGTTAAAATTCTGTAATACAGAAAGTTATAATGGATACACATTGCATTAGTTCAAAGAGAGTGACCGTATTCAATAAGAATTCCATCAAATATTTACCTTAGTCACAATCCTGTAAGTTATGAACGTTTCGATTGTGGTCACATGGCTTTCAGGCTCATCAACTGTAATGAGGAGATCCTTTAAATCCGGCTCGTCTTCAAATCTGATTTGGTTTATCATTGATAAAGGGGATGTGGGCATCAAAGGGCTGAAGGAATTCATGTCCATCAATGAAGCATCCTACTTAATAAAACATTTAAAATTTAACATCAATAAGAAATACGGTTAGGATCCTGTTTTAAAAATACCAATGATATAAATTAATTATGTTATGAATAAAAATATACATATACATCTGGTTAAACAAAACAAAACTCACTGCAATCGAAATTATTTCAACTCATAGCAATACATTAGGACAGGGTAGAGCTGCCCCTGTAATTTTCCAAAGCTGTAACTCTTTACAGGAGGGAAAACCTCATCTTTTTCCCCGAGGAGCAGCTGATAGTTTCAAACTGCTGACCTTGTGATTAGGAGCCCAACGCTTAATCCACTATGCCACCAGAGCTCACATATTCCTGGTTAAACATGGCAGATTGAACATTTACACTTAGCTCTGCTTCCTCTTCAATTCTCACCTCAAAACTTACATTAAAGAAACAAGGAAAGTATTAAACATCAAGGATAGGACGAAAGCAAAGGAGATATGCAAATTACTCTCTGTAAACTGGATTCCAACCACTAAGTGAAATTACAATAGAAAAAAATAAACTAAAAGTAAACCAAGAAAGATAAACTAGAAAGAAGCAAGCACATTTGAAGCGAGAATCTCAAGAGAGGCTCAGAAATTAGAAACTGCAGACGTCTGGGGAGGTACAAATATTGGTAGAGCAAGAGCAGTAGGGATTGGATGAAATTCTACCACAACAAGAAAATCTCTGCTTGCGTCATGGGGTCTCCTCCACTTGGCAGAAACCTGGAAGTTTATTTTCTGGAACATCGCTCTACTTAAGGGTACCAAGTAGGATGAGAAAGGGGCCCTAGAAATTACAAGTTTCAAGTGAAAAGTCCTGCACAGTAGATGGGACACTCAACCCTCTTTGTTCACTTAGCTGCATCAATTGGCATGAGGGGGCAAAACCCCAGACAGTGGTTGGAAGTTACCCCTTGACTGATCCAGTCAAGCAACATACTGAATGAACCAGGTCTCTGCTCAGCTTTAATCCCATGTGCAGGAACCACAACACATGGGGAAAATCTTTAGATGACAGCGTAACAAACAAACCGACGTAAGAAAACAGGAGGAGGAGGAGGGAGGGGAAAGAGGAGCTGACACCAAGGGCTCAATAGAAAATAAATGTCTAGAAAAGAACGACGGCAACATAAGTACAAATGTGCTTGATAAACTGATGCATGGATTGTTACAAGCTGTAAGAGCCCTCAATAAACTGTTTAAAGCAACAATAAATAAATAAAAGCAAAACAAGTAACAGCTATGAAATCATCAGTGAGTTCAGGTGGTGGTGTTGGGTGGACACTGAGTCAGTTCTACCTCAGAGGAACCCTGACACTCTGAGGCCCTGCACCATTCTCACAACTGTGGACAAGTGAGGGCTTCCAGCATTTGTTGAACTGTACATTTCAATTGTTATTCCCTTTCATTCCTGGCACAGTGTTTTCCAATGCCTTCAGTGCACCTTGAACTTCTTCCTTCAATGCCATTGGCTCTTGAGCATACACTAACTCCTTAATCTTGCCTGGGAGTAATTTACAGTCTCTTCCAGTCAGCTCCTGGCCTTGTTCTGATATTGAGCTTCTCCAGCATTTCTTTCCAGGAGCCCTGGTGGCACAGTGGTTACTAACTGGGCTGCTGAACTTCAAGATCAGCAGTTTGAACCCACCAGCCACTCCTCAGGTAAAAGACAGTATCCTACTCCTATAAAGAGTTAGTCTTGCAAACCCTGTCCTATAGGATCACTATGAACTGGCATCGACTCAATGGCAGTGAGTTTGTTTTTTTGAGTTTATGATCTCATTCCACAAATGTAGTTGATTTGATTCCTATGCACTGCATTCAATAAAGTCATTTTGTATATTTGCCATTTATAATGTTCGTTAGTTTTTTTCTCATACTGGCTTACATGTTGCTATAATTCTAGAAGCTATGACATTGAAATTTCAAATACCAGCAAAATCACCCATGGTAAACAGATTTCATCAGAGTTTTCACAGTAAAGAGTAGGAGAAAGGATCTGGCAACACCCTTCTAAGAACATTGGCCAGTGAAAACCTGGCATCAAAACACTGTCTGATACAGTACCAGACAACTATACTCTCCGGTTGGAAGATGCTCAAAAATACACCTGGGGAAGAGGTGCTTCTTCAAAGTACAGTTGACCTTAAGGATATGGATGGAGCCAAACTTTCAGGATAGGACCTACATTTGCTGATGTGAGAAGAACCCTGAAAAGAGAAGCAGCGGCTCTCTGCGTCCATGAATAATAAGAATGTTGAATGGATGAAGCATGAATCCAGGAAAACTGGAAGTTGTCAAAAACTAAATGGAATATATAAAGACCAATATCCCAGGCATTAGCAAGCAGAAATGGACTGAAATTGAACATTCTGAACGGTTGTAATATTTGCTATGTGGGCACTGAGAAGTTGAAGAGGATTGAAATTGATTGGGTAACAATTGTAAAACACAGCTTGATAAGACTGAACTATGGAATGGCATGATGTCTACATTAGCTCCCAATCATACGGTTAAGGGGGAAAAAAATTCAAGATCTATCCTGAAGTTTAGTGTTGTCAGTGATAACAGCCATACACCTAAAAGAAGTTACTACAACTGTATCAAAATTTGTATTCATTCTTATACATCTGCATTCAAATTTAGCCATCAACCACTAATGCTAAGCATAAAGAAATTGAAAAAATTTACTAATTTCTGTAGTCTGAACTCAATCAAATATGCAATCAAGATGCAAGGCTAATTATTGGTGATCAGATTATGAAAGCTACAAAGGCAAGATTGGGAGTTGGAAAATACAGCCTTCATGTTAGAAATGACAAGAGATATCACACAATGGAATTTAACCTTCCTGGTGCACTCCTTTTTAATAGAGTAAAGCATAACAAGTTCTGTTATTTCAAGAAGACACTTATTTTCTACTATTAATCAGTAAAAAATGATAAATAGTAATATGGACTTGTCTTATCCTCGACAGAAATCAACTGATGTTCTAAATGCTCGTGTGGCAAAAGTTAAGGGGCTGTAATGAAGTATTTGGGAAGTTTTCAATGTGGTAATAGAAGCAATATTACGTAAGACATACTAACTGAAGACACCAGAACAATACTCACTGCATCGAGTCCAGGGCGACTTACAGTGACCCTATAGGACAGGGCACAACTACCCCTGTGAGTTTCCCAGGCTGTATCTCTTCACAGGAGTAGAAAGTCCTTTCTGTCTTTCTCGGCCAGCTGGTAGTTTCAAACTGCTGACCTTGTGGATCACAGCCAAATGCCCAACCACTATGCTACCAGGACTCCTTAGAATAACACTCGTTGTTTAAGAAGATTCAAGCTATTTTGATCACAAAAATATCTGTGTAAAGATGCATTTAGGCATGAGTTGGATCATGGAGTAGAAGGCATTTCCAGTTAAATTAACTAGATATACAAAAAAATGAAAAAAATATAATGTCCCCAATAAAAGTTTATTTTAGTGAAACAAATTATAGTATATTTCTATCATACAATGTAATAAGGACTATTCATGTAATAAAAATACAATATGGTGATGTAAAGTGAAATTGTAGAAGATACATATTTAGATAGGCTCATAGCATTGTAAAAGAAAATAGATTATAAAACAGTTGCACAAATCATATCCTGCATATACATGGGAGACAGGATGAGGAGAAAGAGAAAGAAAATTAACATAGAAACGATACAAGAAAATGTTAAAAGACGTTGTACTAATATTAATAGATGTTGTACCAAAAAATGGAATTTAAAAAAATGGTAATTTTTCCCCCCAAAGCAATGTATTTAAATTTTTTTATAAAACATCCTTGTCACCTTCAAAGGACTCTTCATTACACTTAGTACATTTGTCAAATCTGCAATTCCATTCTTGGAAACATTTTTCAAACTCATCTATTTATATGGCTGACAGTACTTCCCTCATTTTTTTCTTCACCTCTTCTACGTTGTCAAATTGCTGTCCTTTCATGTCCCTCTTCATTCATGGAAACAAAAATAAGTCACACACAGGAAGATTAGGTGAGTAAGGTGCGTGGGGCAAAAGAGGCATGGTGCCTTTTGCCAAAAATTGGTGCACAGAGAT